TGGCTTTAATGGTAGTGAATGAGAGGCAGGAAGAATATGGAATAATGCATCAGCAATGTGTCTGCATGCTTCCACGGGACAGCAGCTGATCAGGGATTCATTGAGCCCCTCCCTGATGACTGATATAAAGTGAGTCCATGCACCATAGTGAATTATAATCCACAGTTTACATGCATCACCCACAACTGTGCAATCAGGTTTTTTTTTGTCTTTAGCTTTTACCTTTTGATAGCTGCCAGGAAGTGTTGTTTTTTTTTTACTGAGTTGTAGAATGAAAATGCTACAGTCACTCAGGCTGTCCAAGAAATGCACTATAAGCAGCGTCTTATTTTCAACTGGCGCTCTGTGGAGCTGGCTGTTCAATTTTTCATGACCTGAGAGTCTTTATTGAGCAGAAACCGATCTCATTCTGCTGTTGCCAGTGTCACTCTAGTATATTTTGTTTTGGTAAAGCTGGAATGATTTCAAAGCTCTGACTTAATGTCGCACCATTGCCTGTTGTGCTCCCTGACTAGAAAGGCTTTAATACTGAGTAGGCTTTGGATCACTTGTAATCAGTGAGGTGCTAGTACTCTGTTTAAATTGTCTGTATGCTTCAACAGAAGTAGTCTGCTTTATAGCCATCAACACTGGTACACCATCACCTCTAGAATTAGTTTTGGATGATTTCTTTGTGGAGGAAAAAAAATCTGAATAAATTGAAGTTGTTATCTAATATCTATCTGTGCATGTCTGACTCATAAGTAGATCATCCTTATAAATACTACCTGTATGTGCCTACCTGTATATTTTTTTGTCTCCTCTCAGATGTGATGTATTTAAGCAAAGTCCGTTTCTTGTTTTGTTTCTATCCATGCCAGCCACATGTGTGTTCTGTCACCTCATGCCAACTCACATTTGTATGTGTTTAATCAAGCTCTTGTGCCTGGAGAGTATTTTCCACATCAGTGGCACTAGGTGAATAGCCAGAGAGCTGGTCCAGATTGTACCACCGCTATTACCATTACGTTGGGTTTTGCATGCAGAAGCTGAAGTAGTGCTTGAGGCTCATGATAAATACTGCTCTGCTCTTTTTATGACAGTCTCAGGGCGAAAGCTGCGCTTGTGAGGTGCGCTGCATTTTAGCTCTCTTTAAGTTGGTGAGACGATGTTACACCTCCCGAAGGCGCAGGGAATTTGCTTCTCTGAGTTTAGTCACCTGATTGGTTGATCTTCTGAAAACATTCAGTCATTCAGCACTGGCAGGAGCAATGGAAATAAAAACAAGGAGCCTGTGTTTTTCTTCAGACAGCTGTAGGCAAAATGGCAATCTAATCCAATGAATGCAGGGAGGTAGGACTTTATCATTGGAAACAACAGTGTGTCCTCTATTTGTGTTGACACGTGAGCATGACAAGTGTAAACCCTGGCCTCACTAGAGTGGGATCGCCCCTGCCGTGTTAAGTTGGGGAGGTTTGGCAGCCATAGCTGTCGAGATAACCCAAGCTGCCCTCTCTGACTCAGTAGTATGACTCTTCCTCCCTAAAAACAAGAAGAAAGGAAGAGGCTTAGAGCTGGGGAAATTAAAGGAGACGAGTGTTAGTATGACAGAGGAGCTTGAACAGTGGTATACGCAGTAGCAGCTCAGCTTTGTGTTGCAGCCATGACTGACAAGAGAACTGGTTAGCCAGTGGAAGTGGCTTCTGTGTCATGTAAACCTGGTGCTGGCAAGGGCAGCTGGTGCTGAGGCCAGGCTGCACTAAAGACTAATGAGGTGTTTATCTGAGAGGTGGGGAGGCTGAAGTGCACTGGACTCTGCCCCTGAAACCCATCTGTCAGAATCTCAGACACACTGGAGAAGAGGCAACTTGTCCCAGCTTGGCTGTGACAGGCTCGTCGTGGCCTGCTTCACACAGAAGATGCAATTTGTCCATCTGTTAACAAACATGTTTCTGTCCTTTTTTCTACTTGCAGCCAGTTTGAGCTTTTTTTTCGAAGGATGATAAATGTTTCATTTATTATAATTTTTCTTTGCAGTGATGTATTATAAATATAAAAGTCTCAATTATTTTTAACCGCTGTGCACAGAGAGAACCACATCAGCCAGACTTCAGCCTCACTGTACAGGATTAATAAAAACTGTGTGAAACACTACTTTTAAGTGAACAGAGCAACCTAACAATTATTTTTCACAAAGCTGAACTGAATTGTTACAAATCATTTTTATTTTTAGTATAGAGTACTGCATCTACTTCTGCCTTTGATAGGGCGTTCTATTTGCATGACAGCCAAATTGAAGTTGCTCTGCATGATAACTTGGCTGAGAGTTAATGTAAGATCTGTCTGATTAATAGAAAGGAAGTATTTGCTATCCAGATATTCTTCACCTCTGTTAATGTCTCATTAATAAAATTATGTTTGGGGTTTTGTGGTTTGAGTGTGTGGCCCGACATTGCTACATGTTTTGGTTGTCTGTCAGATAAGATAATGTAGCCTCAGGTGGCAAATAAAGTAATCACGGATTTAAAACCCTTATGTTTATTTGGATTAATCATATTGGTGCTTCACCTGTTGCTCCACTTTATCACGAAAGGTAACATTTTGCTCATGTGTGTGCGATTCATTTCACCTAGTGTTAGCAGCAGTTCGGTGATGACAGATTAAGAATGTCCTGGTCATGTTCATGTTACCCAGATATGGATCAGAATCATTTAATATTGAATATCTGATCCTGATTGAATATTTATATTATACAGCTACTGCTGATAAAGACCTACATAAATAAATCCAATACCGTTAATGTCCTTATTGTTACACTATGTATCAAATAACATCAAGACTAAAGTCAATTGTCATGTTTAATCTTTATAAATAATAAAGTAAAGTAATCAGAACAAGGACACAATGTGTCACAGATGCGAAGTGACAAACATTCTTGCTGAAAATGGAATGACAACCCCTCCTTCTGCGCACATATGCACTCTTAACTGTGAGTAATAAATGATATTGTTATGATGGGTATCATTAGGATTTTATTGAGACTACTACTCCTATCGCTGCTCTTATCGGTTCTTTTTCATTACTAAATAATTGCTTTTAAAAAAATATATTATTTTAAAAAAAGAATAAAGTCATAACAGGATTAGAAATTAATATTTTAAATATTACTAAAAATTGTTTCTAGAGCAGCAACAGTAAAGTTTACAACAGCAAAGTCACTAAATAAACTCAACAATATCTCACTGGAAATTGAAAATAAATAGTGGGCACATAAAAATACTGAGGATGTTTAAAAAGGATGAAGACAGACAGACATCTGTCAGTATCAGTCCTTCCTTCCTTCTTCGTCCTCCGCCTCCCCTCTGCTGCTGTGAGTCACTGCCTGCAGGTACCGCTGGCATAGAGAGAGGAGCGGCTGGTTTGTAAACAGCCAGCAAGTTTACAAGAATTTGACAAATTTTAACTTACGTGGCAAGGGTTAGCTTTTGTTTGAGAGTTTTGGTCAAAATTAGCTGAGCTAGCACGCTGTGCTTATGTAGAACATGGAGGATGAGAGTCTGCATACAGAGCAGATTAAAATATCGTTTTTTACAAGTTTATGCTTGTTAAACAGGTGTATTGATAAAGTATTGGCTTTTTACTCGCAAATGTTCTATTGCACTTACAGTAACAAGCGTAGTTGAGTAGTTTCCAGCTGTTCTGTCGGCTGACTTGTGTGTGTGTGTGTGTGTGTGTGAGCCTTTTACTTGCCCCGGGCTTTTTTGCAGCTGGTGTACCCAGAGCCCAGTGGGGCTCAAAGGATCTGACCTGTATCAGGATTTATAAAGTTTATAAAACCAGTTACACAAGGCCTCGATAGGAGCAGATCAGTTTGATCCGCAAATAAATGTTAATCTGTAAACAGTTAAAACTTGTCAAAGGTCTCAAATGAACAGATGTGAACTTTCACCATTTCAGTTCTAAATGCTGTTCAGTCATGGCACAAGTATGTGCCACTGAGGCCTAGAGCAGCTGGTTTCAGTGATTAGTTCCTACACCGCCGGCGTAGTTTTTAGTTGAAACAGCAACCTGTGAACTCTTTGCCCTCCTCGTGGGAACAACAAACAGTTGTTATGAACTTTGTTTGGTTTGTAAATCTTAAAGTGTAGTTATAAAACTAAAATGAAAGACAAAAAAATGGTTGATATATCTCATTGAGTCTTACAAGTAACCAACATGTAGTGTGAAATGTAATATGCATAACTTGTTTGGGGAAATGCGATATGAACAGAGCCATCTTTCGGTAGTGATTTTTGTTAGCTAACTTGATGGGAAATTGTTCTTTCATTCATTTTCACACACTTCATTCAGTCACTCTGTCATGTTTCTTGTTCAGTTCACTGCTAAAATTGTGAAACTGCTACATTTGTACTTTTGCACAGAAGGAGCTGATGTTTTCCTCAGGAAATGACATGTTGCAATTGGTCGTGATGGTTCCTGGCAGTAGCAAGTGTAGCCCACTTCGGATCTTAATCTAGGAAGATGCCTAAATATGCCTCTGCTGGGTTAGGCCTTTTCTCAAGCCTTGGTGAAACTCTCTTAGTAAATTCATCTCTACACTACATGAACTGCAAACATTGCCTGCCCTCATCCACACATAGAAAGCCTGTTTTCCCTGTGTACTCTATCCTCTGTAAATCTGTTCTTAGGGGGTTGATAAACATCCAATTATAACACAAGATGGTGTTATGTGTTCCAGATAGCTTCTTCTTTATAGTCATCAAAGCAGGAGTGAAGTGGCCTTTTTGTTTGCTCCCTCAGAGGCTTGTTTTCCAATACGCAGAGCAGATGGTATCTGTTTTTCATGGGTGAAACACTGAGCCGGGTGGTTTTTGCGTAGCTGGCCTAAGTGAAGCTTGTATGCGTGTCCTCCTGCCTTAGCTGTGAGAATACACCTGTGTAAGTTGAGAGCTTTATATATATATAAAAATAAAAAAAACTTTTGAATTCACTGGTTTCTTGTTTTTTCTTTATTCCCTCAGACTCTGGAGGAGCCCCCCTACTTGACAGTAGGGACGGATGTGAGTGCCAAGTACCGAGGGGCTTTCTGTGAGGCCAAGATTAAGACTGCCAAGAGGCTAGTCAAGGCCAAGGTAAGTCACATTTCAAAGTGCTCATGATCCAAAATTTCTTCAAATGTATCGTCTGTTTTGTGTGTGAAGTGGAGTGCAGCAGGGCTACGGGCTCTTTGTGGGGTCTTTGTGTGAAGGGGCTACAATCGAGATCACACAGCTCAGCTTTAGTGTACATCTCAGCAGTTAGATTGGAGATGGCCACATTTAAAAGACGTTCCTTTAGAGACCGGGTTGTTGGGATGCTTACAGGGTAATCCTATTTGATTGATTCTCAGGAAGTGTATTTAAATTCTTTTCTTGTCTGATGTTGCCAAAAATCCTGCTGTGTTGCTCACATGCTCTACCATCTGGTTTAGGTTGCTAGTACTGCTCAGACAGTTGAAATGCTGATCAGGGTCCCAGATGCAGGGCCTGGCTTAGCCCACCAGGTACCCGTCACGTCCTCGGGCGTCCCTCTCCTCCACAGCTTCCACATTTGTGCGCGGCTACTATTTCCCCATTGGTATTATGCCTTGCTGATGAAGGCATTGCATGATGCACATAATACAGTATCTCATTTCCCAGTGGGGCTGGAGCATCTGGATAATACAATAGAGACAGATCGCTTGTCTCTCGTTCTGCTAGAGTGTGTGGGAGGAACAAAGATTGGATGCTGGCTTTTTCACTGTGTCAATGCACTGTAGTTCCCCCAGTAGAGACAAAAGAGCAGCGATGTTCTGCCATTCTAGCACACCAGCTGAAATCCTCAAATGACGTGCCTTTTTGTCTCATGGACAGGCACAAACAATGTGACAAATTAGATTGTGTGCTATTCTTAGTTTAAATATTGTGGGGTAAAACTAAGCTAATAGGACAGTCTAGAGCTGATAAAATAATTTGCATACTAATTGGTGTAAGTGTGGGGTTTGTTTTTGGGTGGCTGCAATGTGAATATGAGCTCTGTTACACAAACGTTGAAACATGGCAATTATTCAGTAGTTGTTGTGAGTCTGAATATTCCACTGTAATGAATTCCTCTTCAGCTCTTTGGTTCATTAATCTCTTTCTGCTTGTTTAACAAAGTCGATGGTTGCAGCATATGGCGCTGGTGTCTTGTGAGTGATCTTTAAAACCCAGTGAAAGATCTGTGTGACATTTTTATTCATGATGATGATCGGTACTAGAAGACCTTCAAAAAGTCAATTAGCACCATGTCAGTATCACTCACTGTGACATGTACAGCACACATGTGATTAGTCAGGACTAACCCTATGGCACAGTAACAAGCACTGTGTCAGAAAATGAGCGCTGTGTTACAGAGTCAACGTGTTCATAGTACATCTTCTTCTAGTTCCTCTGATAGATTTCACAGCAGAATGCAAATAAAAGACTCTCCCAAAGGTTCAGTGTGTAATATACATAACTATGTTTTCAGTGGTGTATAAAGACCTTAAATAATAAACCATTATGTTTTTATTACCTTAGAATGAGCCATGTCTATCTAAATACACGGCGGGTCCCTGTACATGGACGTCGCCATGTTGCACCGCCATGTTTCCACAGTAGCCCAAATATATAACGGTGAGACCCAGCCTTTGGCTCCCAAATTTCTTCAGCACTGAGCTGGAAAACAAGAAGAATGATGTCTTCCAGCAAGCCGGCCAGAACGGGGCGAATCGCCGCGGCGTCTGCCACACGGGCTACATCGTGCTGGGTGATCTCCGTCCCCGCTGCCAGGCATGCCTCGGACCGGAGCACGCCAGCCGAGCGCTCACTCTTGGTTTGCACTGCCTGTTCTGCGCCTTTCTGCCCCCCCAAAGAATGGCCGCGTCGGGCGGATAGCTTGCCGTTCAGAAGGAGGGGGTGTGGCGGTCCACCCGCTCTCTGGACGAGGCCCTCGATCTGCTGTTGACGGAAGAGCGGGAGTTGGATGGCTCCGCTCTGCCCATTCACGGCTCTCCTCGCGGCTCCTCGCTTCCCCCGTTCCGACCTCCGATGACGCCGCCCTCGACGCTACTAGGTTGCTGTGACAAGGCAAGCTAACAGGGAGCTAACGGATAGCTAACGTGATGCTCACATGCGGTCTGTCTGGATCAGCCGACCAGGGAGACCCCCTGTGCCCACGTTGCTCCACATTAGCTGCGGCTAATGACATCTAGCAACCGGTTTCATTGCTGCTGGCCGACCCTCGTCGGTCAGAGCGGACCACTGGTAAGCTATGGGTCGAAAAAGAGCTGTGTGAAATCTTTTTGCTCCTTTTGTGGAAGTTGTTGAACAAATGCTGTCTGTGCCTGTCTCAGTCGAACCAGCCACACCAAGCACACATTTCCCACACTGTGTGAGCCAGCTGCCGTTAGCCTTGTGGCTAATCTGCAGCTTGAAGCTCAAAGCAACAAGAAGTACACACTGTTCACGATAAGAGGTCCCTTCACACACCCCTCCCCACAGAAACTGTATGAGCCCATGACAGCAGACATTCGCTTCGTGTGAACAGTACATATACACACCCGGTACAGATATTTTTCTGACGAAGAAATGGTTCACAGAAGCCAGGCTGTGTCAAATGAGCGGTCATTACGACTGCAAACGGCGGTCCCCAAAGGGCCCCCCACCCAGTTTCCCGACTTACGCATTGGTCCGCCCTCGGCCTCCCATGCCTTGCCATCAGTGCTCGCGTGAACGCCGACACCAATGCCGCGGTCGGCGGGTGACTGGGTGGCTCATTATGGCTCTGGGCAGGTGAGTTGTGCTTGGTGGTGCCGTATGGGCCAGTGAGGTGTTGACTCATCCTGCTTCGCCTCTAACCCAATAGCGATAGCCTTAGAGGGCGAAGCCTATACGAAATAGAACGGGTGTTACATACTGTAACCTGGATTCCCCCCTCTTAAATCTTTATCACAAAAACAGGAATAAAATGTACATGGAACATAAAGAAGTATACAGAACAGTGTACAAATATATAAGAAGACACAAATAATAAAAACTTTGCCTGGGGTAGTCTATATTATGTAAAGATATATTACAGACAGGTTATTACATACAGTATGTAGCCTCAATGCTGATTTCTTTAAAGTAAATGTGGGGAATTTTGCCCTTATGTTGCATTATACGGTGTAGGACAAAGAACTAATTAGAGGCAACATTAATGCAAACAAGGTCAATGGAAATGGAGGAGAACAGATGTAGATTTACAAGACACAAATGTCAAAGGTACATATGTTGGAGTAAAATATACACTTACTCTTGAGTTGTATTATGGAATTCTATTAACGACCCCGCACATTGATCAACGTCGCTATAAATGTGCCAATGTCCCCTGGCCAAATATTACATTATCATCTAAACGACAACATTATATTGTTAAGAGGTGGTATTATTCTCATTTTCAGGTTCAAAATCCTATTTAGGTGGCTTCCTTTTAGCAATGGAGTGATACATCTTGTCTCTAAATGATCTTTGTTGGGAGTTGCACATGTGCAGTTCCTAGTGAAGGACTACTAGCTAATCAGAAGCAGAGAAAGGCGGGTCAGCGAGAAGCCCATAAACAGCTTTGATTCAGTTGTAGGCTATGTGTTGCCGACCAGCTTGGCAACATGGACTGGAGCAAGAGTTTCAGAGTGGTGAGATATTAATCTGTAACAAAAGTATTTTTCATCCATAAAGTTTTAACTGAGCTCTGTCTCTTCATCACAGTAACAACTTTATGTCCATTGACTGCCTGGAGAGTAGCTAGTGTTTGGAAGGGAGAGGACGTGTGTGCTGCAGCTCAGTGTTTTTCCACCAGTGTTTTTGAGGGCGTGTCGGACTAGCTGCTTGGCGAGCGTTATATGATGCACGTTAAGCTTTCATCCCTCTGACGTCACAGGGATGAAAGGGAAGCGGTTGGACTATAAACGAGGTGTTTTCAGGCAGTTCAGAGCACAGTTTTCTGTGGGAGATGGGAACTCCCTTTGGGCTGGACTTTGGGCTTTTTCACTTTGCAAACCTGTAACATGCACAAAAAAGATATAACTCAATAAAGGAGAAGTAAAAAGCATAATACCACCTCTTTAAAATAACAATAAGGTAGACAACCTGTAAAATCAGGAAAGCAGAAGGCTTTGATAATGTGAAGAGACAGGAGCAGAAAGGAGAGATGGATGATGAACAGAAACATCCTGTAGCTAACTAACATTTTCAGGCTTATTGGAAGAAATAATCTTTTAATATAATGGGCTTTTCTGGACTGAGTCTCTATTTTAATAGAATTATAGTTTTATATCTTCCTCTAAGTGGTTGTAGAGTTTGTGTTACAGACCTCAGTTGAACCGTGCAGGAACCAAGCTCACAGTTAGGAGGTTGTCAGGATGGTCGGGTGTTATTGACGCTCTCTAGCTGAGGCTTTGGACAGTGAGAGCCACCCTCCTCCCTCTGTTTGAGCACCTGTGAAGAGAGAGGGATTCCTTTATTCCACCAGGCAGGAATGTTATTATCTCCATAGCTGATGAAATGCTGCCTCGGGAAGATTTTGATTCCTTTCCTCTTCTGTCTTCTTTTACGACCTGACAATATTGCATTATGCTTTTGTTTCGTTCATTGTCTTAATCCTGCCTTCACAGCGAGACTTTGATTGCCTGATTTGTTTCTGCTGTTATATTTGAAATTGACTAGAGACAGCATTGTCTGAATTCGTTACCTTGTTTTCTGAGACTGTGCTTAACATATTGTTCTGCCCTTGTATGCTGTTTGATTCTAAACTATTACAGTCAATAAAACAGGAGCCTGTTTTCCATTATAATTTTACAATTTTTTTAGCACATGTTCTCAAAGAAGACTTTGATTTCCCTCAGGAAACAGAGAAGAAAGCACATGAGCATTTTGATATGTAAACAAGGGAGGGGCATTTGTAATACTAAACTGGCTGCTTAGACACCTTTCACATGTGCTCCTTGGAAAATGTGTGTGTGTGTGTGTGTGTGTGTGTGTGTGTGTGTGCCTGCCTGCCTGCCTGCCTGACTTGTGGCCTTTTCTGTCACTCAGTGTTGCCAGGTCACCATGCCCATGTAAGATTACCACAGTGTGATCAGATTATTATCTACTGTGGCTCACTTAGGAGAGGCTGCAAATGCAGAGGGGGTGGGGGTGGGGGTGGGTGGATGGTTCAGTTAGTGTAGCCCTTACATTCACAGAACAGAAATCCATCACAGTTGGCGCCAACAGATGCGATGCAGTTGCCAGTTCGGGGTCAGTCGCTCAGCGAAAGCAGAAATGAGCCATAGTATTAAATAGTCACACACAGGGGTGTTGCTAGTCATAAAGGTCTACTGGGGCACAGGCCCCCACATCCCTCATGTAAATTTTTGATTTATTTTTGATTGAAGTGTATGAAATGTGTTAGTATGTGCCTTCCCAGCTTCCCTTGCTTAGCCCATTAATTAATATTGGTCAAGTTAGAAAGGGATTTGACTGAGCGTAAGCACACATACCTATTTTATCTATGCTATGTTACTTGTGACCCATGTAAACAATTTGCCACTACTACCTTTAAAACAGTCTGTCTCTGTTATAAGCCTGAATGGCAACCTCTTCTAGAAAAATCCTCATAAAGTCTGATAAGTCTGTTAAGACTGGTGCTGGCTGTACATCTCTGGCTGTACATCTCTGGCTGTGGTCGTGCTGGCTGAGGCTACCTGTATTTCACCTGGGTCTGTGTGACCTGCTAAAGATGTCTGGAGTGGGTCTGTGCTGGTACTGGATTTGGATCAACTGTGCTCATACTGGCTTATGATCCAGCATCTACTTTACTGACAAATTTAAGCATAGCCCCTTTAAATGATAGATATCAATACTTGCTAGATATTAATGTTATCAGCTGCATCAGGCCCCTACAAACTGGCTCCCCAGCTGGGCGATATGGTCAAAAATGTTATCATGATAAAAAATTTCATATCATTCGATATCAATAATTATCAAATCATGATTTCTATTGAGTTTAACGGCTGATTTTTGCTCCTTAGTGAAAGCTGAAGAAACCAGATAGTTAATTGTGGTTTAAACTATTTTATGGTCAGAACATGTTAAATCTTTTTTCAGTCCCTTTTTCCTCAACAAAATAAATAGAAAAAGAAAGTGCTAATTCGTTCATGATTCAAAGGAACATTTGTTATATTGTTAGTGACGAAAATTATACTGTGATAATTATTTTTAGGCTATTTTATTGTCCAGCCCTAATTTATACTATGACTTGACTGAATAAGTGATGTTTATTATTTACTGAGAGAGGTGCATCCATATTGTCCCGTCTGCCCCACTAATCAACATTTTAATAGTCAATGTGAATCCACTGCTTTCCACCTTGCAATTGTCCAGAGTTGTAACTAAACCTTCACTGAGAGACAGATAATCACTGTCTTATTTTAAAATGATGTGGGCCTATGAGGAGTGCCATCACATCTGTATGCTGTCTGGTCCCACTAATGTTGCTGCTGGAATGCAATAAAGTCCGGCTGCAGACTGTAGCACCGTTCAGCTGGATGCGCAAGTTTCATTTCATGCACGCACGTATGAGCGCATGTTCACGTGCAACGTAGTTATCATTTCCATGCTGCAGTTTATAAACATTGTTGCCCGTCTGCATTCATCAAAGGTAATAAATAAAGTTGTATTTTACTCTAATATTGTTCAGTCTGGCAAGCAACCAAGAGAAAAAGGGACCAAGTATCTATGCTCACACACATAGTAGGTTGTTTGCCTATTGACACAAGGAAGTCTTTACTAGGATGTTCTCTCAAACCAAACCTGCCTCTCCGCCAAGCATGGAGTACATTATTATCAGTCTAACGCAGTTATACAGTCCAGCGGCGTTGGTAGGGACATGCGCCTCTGTGAAATGGAAGATTGATGTGCCACAGTCAGGCCTTTGGGGAATTGTTTGTTTATCCCCATAACTGATTCTCCTCCCTGCCCCCCTTCCCCAGGTGACCTTTAAACCAGATCTGTCGACGGCTGAGGTTCATGATGAAAACATCAAAGGGCCTCTAAAGGTAAGGCAGGAAAGACGGGGGAGACTGATGATGTCCCACAGTCAGCCGGAACATTGTAATAACACCAAAATTATCTTTAATTAACACTGAATCACTTTTTTTGGCTTAGACTTTAAGACCATAGTGAAAGTAAAAAAAGCAAAAGAAAGAATTGGTCAATGAAGTATTTGCTTTGTAATCAAATTTCAGTCAATTATGATTCTTGTAGCAGCAATATGGTTGTCTCATTACTTTTCAACGCATCATTAGATTTATCATTAGCAGCATATTAAAATGCCAAATAACAGCCGCGCATCTGTCCCACAGGTGGGTGCTGTTGTAGAGGTGAAGAATCAGGATGGAGTTTACCAGGAGGCCACAATCAACAAGCTGACCGATGCTAGTATATATACTGTTGGTAAGTCAATAGCAAGCTGCCTGCTTTCCCTCCTCACTCAAAGATGTGGACTCTCCCCACAGTTAAAAAAACAAGTTTGTGTGCAATGAAAACTCCAGAGGGTTTCCAGGGTTTGAATTTCCCTTGTTTTTGTATCCATTGGTATTTAAAGTTGTTGCAAGAACCACCTTCAACCGAGGTGATTTAAGAAAGGATAAAAAGTTAAATCTTTAGAGTGATACCTCACAGTGCAGCAGGAATGCTGAAAAGTTGATGTGTCTTTCATGCTCAGGTTATTACAGTCCATACCACTACTGTAGTTTGCTGGGTTGGGAGTCTACAATGAAACATCAGGATGGACAGGGGGGCAGCGGTCGTGTATGTGTTCTCGCACAGACTTAAAAAATTGGTAGCCTATTAACTTACTTTATTTTACGCACGGACAAGTTACAGTGAACACAGAGTGCAGATGTTGGTTTCAGTTGTTCAAGGCTACATCATTAATAAGCTGACGTGCGGCTCACCTGCTGCCTTGATAACGGATCGCAGGTGGTAATATATGGAAATAAAACCAGTTCTCAGTCTTTTAGGCGACATTATTAAACATACTGCTGATAGAGAAAATGGAGCAGACGGGGGGAGAGAGACAGAGAGAGGCGTGGCAAGCCAGGGTGTTGACCTGAGGTGTAGGTGTGTGTGAGCCATCGCCGATGACGATGGCATCGTCTATTGGCCCAACCCTAGTAGTTTGTGTGACCATTGTGGGGTCAAACTGCACATACTATGGATGGATGGATGGATGGATGGATGGATGGATAAAAAAATAGTATAATGCATCAGTCTTGGTAAACAACAAAAAGTGTTTTGGCTATATAAAAACAATTTTTAGTCTCTGGTTGCTTTGGAGGCTTATTGAACTACATTATGCTGAGTCAACATTGAAATATAATATAAATCTAATATAAACTGTGCTGGTAAATGATGCATGTGGGGCTGCAAGGAAAGGCAACTTGTATCATTGATTAATCTGCCGTCTTTAAAAAAATTAAATAAAAATCAACAATCCAAAATCCAAAGATAGTGAATTTATAATTATATTAATTATATTAGATTAGCTAATCCAAAGTACACAAAGTATAGACAGCCGCTAAGATCTGTAGTCGCTCAGCAGCTGCTCGTTGATTAAGCCTGCCCGTGGTGGTTTTCCTTATCTCAAAGTCGTCGTCTTGGCACATCTCTCGATGAGAAAACAATATCACGAGACACTGTTCAAAAATACCTCAGTTGTTTCCTCCTCATTGTTCCCAAGTACATTTGAGCAATGACTTTAAGGATTTCCACATCTGGGTTTTTGTTTGGGAGCGATGTGGCGAATGAAAGTTAAACAAAGGTTCCTTGAGTTCTTTAATATGATATATGATTATATTTACTGTTACTTGATTTGGATGCTTATTGTAAAAGTTAGTCTATTTAATATTGGAGAGATTTGTTATCTGTTAATAGGGGTAGGAATCACCAGAGGCCCCACGATACGATATTATCACAATATTTATGTTGCGATTCGATTTTATTGCGATTTAAAATATATTCAGATATAGTGCAATTTATTACCATTTTCCAACTTCCAATTAGGTCCCTAAAGTCAAACTTTGTCAACATCTGTTTATCTAAAAAGATACATTTCTCTGTTTGGTCCTGTTAAGTTTTCTAGTGGACTAAAAAAGCAATAGATTTTATTATTCTAGTACCAAAAAGTTAAAACTCCCATCTGCAATTTATATAATAAAATATCGATACTTGGCATCCGTGTATCAATACAGTATTGCCATGGCAAATATCACGATACTATGCTGTATCGATTTTTTTCCCCCACCCCTAGTTAATACATAAATAAAATCAGTACATCCATACACATTCCCCACGTCTTTTTTATTTTACCATTTACTCCCTTCCTTGAAGCTCTAATAAAGCTGTGAGCTCATAGCGACTGTGTCACTCCCTGCTGGAGGGTCTAGCCAAGTGTTAAAAGACGAGCATAATTTGTGTTTAACATATCACAAATCAAGCAGACATTTTGTATCTGAGACGTGAGTTTTTTTGTGCCTAAGTGTGTGTTTGTGTATGTTGGTGGACTCCTGGCCTACATACAGCAGCCTAATAGTTTTGTCTGTCATCTCTGCAGTGTTTGACGATGGCGATGAGAAGACCCTGAGGCGTTCCTCTCTCTGCCTGAAAGGAGCGCGTCACTTTGCAGAGAGCGAGGCAAGTATTGCGCTGTCCTGCAGTCTCGTACCAGCCTCAACTCTCAGCTTTCTAGGGAAACAAAGCATAATTTTATAGTTTTCACTTCTTTTTTTTAAATGTTATTTTATTTAGTTACCAACAGTCTCACATCTCCGCTCACTCAAATTAAAATGCTGCTTATGAATGGTCCCATATTGGCATTTAGATGTTCAGTTGTGAAATATTTCCAGAAAACACACTGATATCACAGCAAAGATGCCAAATATAAACTGTGTCTGTAGTGCTGGGTAAATCCCTCCATTTGTAACTGATGAAAGAAGTGAAGAGAATTTCTACCAGGTAGTGAAGATAAATCTTTAGTCTTCCAATTCATTATCTGAGAAGCTGGCACTGAGGCTCTCTATTGCTGTTTGTCTCCTCTGCAGACACTCGACAGACTCCCTCTCACCAACCCCGAGCACTTCGGCACACCTGTCATTGGCAAGAAGGGCAACCGCGGCCGGCGATCAAACCCAATGTGAGTATCGTTCTCCGCACCTCTGTACATCCTGCATGGCTCATATCAAACTGGATATATTGGAGGTCTGTGATGCTGGTGGGGAGGGTTTTTTTGTACCCATCCACAGTCATCAGCAACAGGCTCCCCCAAGTACACTGAGAGCAGTTGAAATTAAAGATTTACTCTCACCTCCGTCCCCTCATAAACAACCCCTGAGGCCTGGAAAAGGAGGGCCTACTCGCCTCCTTCAGCTCCTTAATCACACATGCTGGAGAGGCAGTGAGTGCTGCGTGGTCCTGCTGAATATTATGCTGTTTTTTCCCCCCTCCTTTGACTCAAATGGTGTTTTATGCTCTGATGTGCTTTCTCCTGGGAGGCTGCAGAGTTTTCATCAGGGAATATGAATCTGCTGAGGGCTTTTTTGTTGTTGCTGGAAATAAATGTGTCTCTATATTATAAAGAGGACACTCTGTTACATAATCTCATTTTTTGACACCCCCTTGCTAATGGCACTCAGAGAAAAGTCAATATTACTCTAAACACTGATGCAATATTAACTTGGAAGGGTCCCAGCTGCACATTAGCACCCTGGACATGTGGTCTTCCTGTGCACTAAAATTATCTTGAATTCGTAGATTGACAATACAGTAAAGATTACTGGAAAAAGAAAAACTGCTGCAGTGCTTGTTTTTACAGGCCGTGTAATTTTTTCTTCTGTTAATATTATAATTAAATATTTTTGCAATGTGCACTTATTTGCTTTCTTGCTAACAGTTAGATGAGAAGATTGATACCGATCTCCTGTCTGTACGCTAAATATGAAGCTAAAGACAGCAGGCTTAGCTTAGCATTGCCACTGGTGGAAACAGTTAACATGGCTCCGTCCAAAGGTAAAAGATATCAGCTGACCATCACGTCTAAATCTCACCAATTTCACACACATTATATCATATTTGTATATCTGGGAGGTTTCCAGGTCAAGACTGTTTGCAATCTTTTTGCTAAGCTAAGCTAATCAGCTGCTGGCTCCAACTTCATATTTAGCATACAGACACAAGAGTGGTGTTGATCTTCTCACCTCTGTATTTACCAAACCTTCTGTTCCTTTAAATTACTTTTTTAAAGTAAGGGCAAAACATTTCTTGCTGCAGTAATCATTATTTGGGGAGTAAACTCCTTCCTACATGAATTGCAGTCTCTCCTTCATTGAGTAGCTAGTGTGCTTTGATTCCCAGCATAGTTGTTGTTGTTGTAGTAGTAGTAGCAGCCTGGCTGATTTACTGCTCTTGAGTCATGCCTGTGTGTGTGTGTGTGTGTGTGTGTGCATAGAGTTGTGCTGAGAGCAGGCCTAGGGAGGCATAAAAAGCGGACGGAGGATCTGTTTGCCTGCTGGTGCTGCTTGCATGATCACTCAAAGACATGGCTGCCTGTCTGCTGGCCGGGGTCAGACGGCAGAGACTGTACACCGACACTCGTCGGTACACTGATTCTAATGAGGGAGCTCATCAGCAGAGCATTGTGCTACATAATGATTAAACTAGAAAGTTTGTGGTGTGTGTTGGTGTGTTATGGATTGTTAGTTGGAGCCTTTTTTTGATGTTTTCTAGCTGAACAGCAGTCAAATGAAAAGATTGGCAGGTTAGCAGAAGTCCTCTGCCTGCCTGTGTTGAGAGAGACCAGCGCCAGTAGTACTATTTTTTTCCCTAACACATTTATATATAGCATGGATGTAATGAACTGCCAGTAAATTTGCAGCAGGATGTTTTTCTTGTATTATACGGCGATGGTGATAAGTTGACAGCACTTTTCTCAATCAGTCTGAGTCAAAACATTCAGTATTAAATATGATTTATGTTTTGGGACAATAACCAATCCCCATTGTTGGGGAACACATTTTGATGACATGCAAAGAGTTTAGAAAATATGGAGATAAACTATGAACTGAGTCACCCAGTTCAATACATTATTCTGATGTAGTTTTTTAAGTAGGGGCTGCAACCAACAATTTAAATTGTTTTGCCTGACCAGCAGAGCAAAACCTAAAAATATTGACTTCTGAATCACATAAGATAAAGAAAAGCAGCAAACTCTTACAAATGAGAAGCTGGAACTATGGAATTTGTGCTTGAAAGATGACTTAATTCATTTTTAAAATTGACTTGTTTCAGCTGTAATTTTAACTTTCAGAGGCTACTGCACTGACTAAGTTGTGTATAAATTGAACTGAATCTGCCAGAAGTGATGGATGTAAGAGAAAGTATATACGGGCACCCACATGCTCACCATACCTTTTTTTGTAAAGTGCAGTCTGTTGAGTAAACCATCCTGTTTTCCCCCCACAGTCAAGAAGAAGAGTTGTCTTCCTCCTCCAGTGAAGAAGAGGAGAGCGATCAGCGTCAGAATGAGGATCTGTTCGGCAAAGTGGTCTGTGTGGAGGGGGTCGCCACTGGGGACAAAAAGAAGACCACGTGGTATCCTGCTCTGGTGAGCTCACAGTCTCCCCTTCCTTCCCTGCTCTCTGCTCCATCACTGCTGCTCTTCTAGTACACTCCCAGCACTGAGCCATGTCCTCTAAACGCCTGCTTGTGTAACCTCAGCACACACAGGATTATGTTATTGCGTTAGAAATCACCCACTATGAAATGTTAGATTTGCATGTTGTTAAGTAGCTGATTTCTATAAATAAAACATAGCAGGAGCTGCCTGACTTATGTAATTTGAAGAATTTCAGAAAGCAACAGCTCGACTTATGTTAGAGGAAAAAGATGCAACTTGCTCTCCCTGGTGTGTGCAGCAGTGCAGCAGCAACACTGATTTGATGTTTTCAGTCTTTTCCAGTCCATTTCTCTCCACCCACCCTTAACTCTCAGCCACCGTTAGCGCACAGTGTAATGGTGACAGGCGTTGTTTGTTTATGTAAGAGTTACAAGTGGAACTGGGAGAATGGGAGAGGGTGGGGAATGCTGTCCCTTTAACTGTGTAGTCAGCAGGGCCCCGCCTCCAGGGTTTGTTGTTCTTGGCCTGCTGTTGACTGAGCTCTATGCCGCCTCCCCGTGACAGCCCAGAGAAGTACATTACACAGAAGCCTGTCATTGTGACACTATGACCTTATGGCAGAGGGGCAGTGTAGGACACTGGTACATGTCTCATGTCAACATGATGCATGACTGTAACAAACCGTGTGCTCTTTAGTGGCCTGGCAAAACAAAAGTCAAAAGGAACAGGTCTGAATGTGCAAGCTGGGAGCTTTCATTTCCGTGTTTGCAGCACAGCATTTGTGTCAGAGGGAAAGTGAATCTCAGAAAAAAAAAAAAAACATGAGTCATAGTGTTCAAATAAAAGCATCCACCCTGCAAGCGTCTGTGTGTGTGCTGTAAATAAAGAGAGAGCAGGAGCAAGCAGGCAGAGTCCTGGTGGAAACGAAATCTCCATAACAGCAGTGCTGCCTCCTCTGGGTTAGACGCTGGAACAACTCCCACTGTTGTACTCCTCAACTCCAGTAAGCAGTGGCAACACATGCTGCGAGTGGGCGCGCGCCCCTTACACATTGCTCTTGATCTCACTCGCTTGTTTGTTTCTTTGTTTCGTAGACAGCATATTTTACAGTCAATCAGCTTGGCCTTTTGCTGAAACTACTTTAGTCATTGACTCGTACTCTTGACACCCCACAGCGCCTCCTCCACCTTACTGTCTCTCTCTCTTTCTCACACACACCAACCTAATCTGACCTATTCACTCTCTTGTTTCTGTGCAACAAGGTCATCTCCCCGGACTGCCATGAAGACGTGACTATGAAAAAGGACAACATCTTCGTCCGCTCTTTCAAGGATGGAAAATTGTGAGTCAATGTCCTGAAAACCACATTTGCACCATGTGTGAAGTAGGGCTGCACTAATGATTGTCAGTAGACTATCATTTGACATTTTCCTTCTCGATTTATACATAAATAATTATTTTAACTAATTATGTAATCAATAAAAGGTCTAACAGAAGTTAGGCCTTAGTATTGCTTACAGATAGTGGTGTTAGCCAAAAAACTACAGGGTGTCCACATGAAGGGAAAACCAAGCAATCTTTTGAGGAGCCGTGACAAGCAAATGATTGGCATTTTCACGTAATAAATTCACTGGATAATCACATTGTCCTTGATTGAATTTTCTGTAAGTCAATTAATCAACTATTAATTTAGCGCTTGTGTAGAACATGCCCATCAGGAGTCTTTGAATAAGTGTTTTAATGGGATACGTGTGCAGTGAACCGTTGCACAAAGAAACGCATGCAATGCTTTCTAGAATACAAGTATTTGCAAATATTGCTGATACTATTGTTACTTTTTTGTGCATTTTATATCTTTCCATTTATTGTAAAGTGGTTTTAACTTCCCATTCAAGACAGATCTCTGTATTACTACATTATTTGAGCTCTGACAGATGACATTTCTACCTTTTGACAATTTAAAAAAAGAGGGAGAATTCAAATGTCTGTGATGCATTGTTTGTAACTTTAGAAGACTATGACCTCTGATTTTGTTATCTCCCAACAAGAGTTAAGACTCTGTGTGCCATCCCTGGCAGTGCTATGTTGTGTTATTTTATTTGTCCTAAGGCTGTGAGTTACTGGTGGGCTATGGTGGTGCAGCTCCCCTGCAGCCTGCCCTCGGCGAGGAACCACACAGGCAGATAGTTTTGTCTGTGGCAAAGAGAGGAATAAGACCTGTCAGGAGCCTTCACTTAGCTGGTGGTTTGTTACTGCAGTCTCTCTGTATGTGGGTAGAAACATAGCCCACACTCGACATAAATTAACCTGGTGTTTGCTCGCTGTTGCAGAGTCTTTTCTGTCTGTTTTGAATTCCACTGATGACAGAACCGCCTCAAGTCTGCGTTCCTTGAAAGATATCCTCGTAACTCATCAGCATGACCCTTAATCTGCAGCTAAGGATATACGTATTTGCGGCAAAAGAAGTGTCTCAGAAGTCCCTCTTATCACTTGTATTTGGCTAACAGTTAGGTGAAGGTTAGAGGTGATGAGAGGGATAAGATAAGAAGTGATAAATCAGAAGTCATGTACTTAAGTGTTTCCTGTCTGAGCATGACCCCCTATGATGGCTTTTTTCTGCAAATTAAATCACACTGTCGCAGTTTTCAGCTTTCTGTTCTGTAGCAATTTGATTTCACTCATTAAAATCAGTATAGTGTATCCAGGGCTAGATGCAACAAATAATGTAAGAAGTCGGAAAATCTATAACAGTGTTAATGAGATGTTTGGATTTGTTTCCCTCCGATCATTTTGCTTTTATGTGGATAGAATAACAAAGATGAAAAGTGCATATCATCACAGTTACTCATGTGCGATGTGTCCATCAGACATGCCTCTTTATGTTAGAATTAGAGTTTATTCTAACACAGGTTTTGCACAGAGGAAAGTTTATGCAGAGTTTATCACATATGATCACTAGATGCAGTATGATGAAATGTCAAAATGTTCATATTCAACACCAGTTTCACTTTTTACAGCACACACTTTATTGTACCTTTTATCATTTATGCCAGCCTTTTCGTCTATTATTACGGAGTTATTCTAGCTTGCTGCTCCCTGTGTGATTTGTTTTTTGAAGGGGGGTCACATCCATAAAGCCATGCACAGCGCATGAGTGAGTTCGCTTTCCTCTGGAGAGTTTGGTATTGTTAGTGGTAACCATTCAGCATGCCTTTCAAAAACAATGGCTTTGGAAAACTCTTTTTAGGGAAAGCAAGGTCACATCCAGCGGGGAGACGAGAGTTTTCAGGAAGTGGTTATTCTTATTTAGCCAGATCAGGATACTATAGTAACAATGGAAATAGGAGCCGTTTTTTCTTTTTTTTTTCTTGTCTGTGCAATTGACGTATAGAGAAAAAGGCCATTTAGTCACTGAGAGTAGGTTTTTACTTTAGACTCTTACTGTCAGCTACACAAAACTGGCTGCAGACTTGATTTATATCAAATAGACGTCCTTGTCATATTTAGAGCTGAAACAGTTAGTCGACAGGCAATTAATCGGCAACTATTTTGATAATCAATGAATTGTTTGTGTCACTTTTCATGCAAAAATGACAAAACATTTACTGCTAAAATGTGAGAATTTTAAATTGAATATCTTTTTGAATTAAATAAGTTTTTGACTTTCTGCTGGCGAAAAACAATGATTTATTTGAAGATGTCACCATGGGCTGTGGAAATGTTGTAAATATTGTAAACCGTAACATTTATGTGTGACCTACCTACCTCATTTAGTTTAGTTAATTCCATAATATGCTTGCTTCACATTAGCCAGCACTGATGTAGAGCAGTTTCAGCTTTATGAAAGAACACCAGATTTTGAGTAGATAATAATAAACTAAAGGGTTAGGTTTATTCAGGATGAGTGTCTGGAAGCAGCACTTCAGTGTTTGGACTTTATTTTTAGCCACAGTAGCGGCTATGGCAATGTTGGTCTGTCATTCAGTTAGTCAACCACTTTGGCCCAGACTGAAATACCTCAACAACATGAATTGCCATAGCTATTGTACAGATGGTTGTCATGAAATGTGCTTCATATTTATAAGGTCTCCAGAGGATAAATTCTAATGACTTTAGCTCAATCATCAGGTCAAACTTCCTTTTGTCCAGTACTTTGGTTTATGGCGACATACCTATAAGGCTAATGACATTACTACCAGCTACAAGTATTTTTTTGTCATAATTTGCAAATATTTGAATGCAACATGCTAAACTAAGACATGGTAAGGATACCTGCAGCATGTTAGCATAATAAACATGTTAGCGTGCTGATGTTGGCATTTAGCCCAAGGCTGTGTCTAAGTACAGCCTCACAGAGCTGCTATCAGCATGGATATAGACTCTTAGCATTGTTTTATCTTTTAAGCTAATCTGAATGAAAAATAATCTTTGCACATTTGTATACAGACAAGCAACATACGAAATAAAATCTTTAAAAACAGATTATCTGTAGGTAACGTTATTAAACCAAGGTGTCCATTGTCTATGAGCTCTTTTAGTTGCAATAGACTTTGTTATTTTTTTCACTCCATCACAAATCTAGTGATTGGATCAGCTCAGCTGCCTACAGATACCACAGCAAATCGTCTCTCTGGCACACTCGCTAAGGCTGCTATCAGCTTACAAGCTCCACTGATCCATCTTTCTGCCAAATCACCAACACTTCGCCCAGCTGCAGCAGACATGTTCTAAGAAAGTAGGCTGTGATTGCAGTCATGTCTACTCAGGTTTTGAGGTTGTTATTGTTGCTGTAAGGTAGTTTTACCCCTGCCAGTGTTGTAATGAACAAGACTTTAGGGTGGCTACTCTTATCTGCTTCACAATATCATTTATTTATTTTTGGGAAAACAAAAAAATCTGCTGGGATTTTGGATGGCTTACTTACAGTCACACCGCAGAGCTGAACCTTGATGTCGTAACACTCAGTACCGTCCACACCACGTCACTTCTATGCACACATTAATCAGATTTGCTGTGTTGGTTTTTTTTCGCAGTTACACGGTGCTGCGGAAAGATGTCCGCGAGATGAACAGCGACTGTCCTCCAAAAGCCGACGCAGGGCTCAAACAAGGTGAGTTTAAAGTAAAGCATTCAGAGGTAAATCATCAACATCTGACAAAACTGGTGCATAGCGTGTACAGAGTCCCCGACATCTGTGTGCTGGTCTGTGTGTTGACACACTTGGCAGAAAATGCTCGCAGAGCGTGTTGCAGCGAGACAGACTGAAGAAAGAGAAGTTTTGTTTTTGTTATGCGGAATGCAGCGGTGGAGAGCTCCTGTCACTGTCAGAGTCTATTTTTATATGAAGTCCTCACCAGGCTTTTTATATAGTGCCCCCGTTTTTCTGCTGCAGAGCTCTTAGTCTTTTATAATTACAGTTATGAAGCAGCTTTGTATTATGTCAGTCTTGCTATTCACAGGTGGTTGACTCACAACTGTGATATTTTCCGCATTACAAAAGCGTAAAACAAGCATCTGCCAAGGTGGTTAGATGCTACTTAAACCCACCTGATATCGTGGCTGAATGCTTCTTCTCTGCGTCACTGCAAATGGCTGCTTTTCTCCATGTTTATGTTGAAATATCTTTTTATACTGTCTGATTTTTCTATAGGGGTCTATTCTTTTCAGATTTAAAATGGCAGCAACACTTCTTTTCTTTTTTTCTTTTTTTTTTTCTCTTGATTTTATAAACCAACGCTGATTGTCAGTATTTTGCCTGAAGGTGCTCTGGTTTCTTCAGTGTAATTCACTGTTTGATTGCTTTAGTACTGAGCCTCCACACACACATATGCAGACACAAATGCATGCCCACCCTCCAAACACCCAGAGACAGATGGAAGCGGTTTAAATTAAAGAAAGAAATGTAAGATTATTGACGTTATTTTCTATTGCTTCATAATGTTCTTTTCACATAAAGTATCAGCGTGTTTTTATTTGTTGTAGATGTAAAGAGCAATCTGAAACGGATTACAGCTGCAGGGAATGATAGGCAGCCCTTACTGGGTGTGATGAATCTGTAATATGGCTTCCTCTGTGCGTGTTCGACAGCACTGGACGCAGCCTTGGCGTTCCAGCAACAGTTCGTCGTGCCCAGCACCTGGAAGACAGAAGTGAAAGAAGAAAGTTCCAGCAGCGAGGAGGACGACGAGGATGAAGAGGAAGAGCAGGAGGAAGATGCCAGCGGCGAAGAGGAGGAGGTAGTGGCAGAACCCTGCACATGCTCTTATCAACACACCCAGTGAAACAAACAAACAAAAAAAATCCTCAAACTATCTTGTTTCCTGTCTGCAGGAGGAAGTTGAGCCATTCCCAGAGGAGCGGGAGAACTTTCTGCAGCAGCTGTACAAGTTCATGGAAGACAGAGGTGAGCCCAGAGCGCAGATGAAATTGATGTTTACAGGGTTTCTTTGAAACAAACTTTTTATTTTTTTAAATGTAGTAAATTTAGGCTTTTTTATTTTTAAGGTTGAAGGTGCTAGACAAATAACAGTTTCTGTATTTTATACATTTTTATGTAAGTCTAGTTCTCTGGCATACCTCTACAGCCCCTAAACATCTAATATACAGGTGCTGGTCATATAATTAGAATATCATCAAAAAGTTGATTTATTTCAGTAATTCCATTCAAAAATTGAAACTTGGATATTATATTCATTCATTACACACAGACTGATATATTTCAAATGTTTATTTCATTTAATTGTGATGATCAAAACTGACAACTAACGAAAATCCCAAATTCAGTATCTCGGAAAATTTGAATATTACTTAAGACCAATACAAAAAAAGGATTTTTAGAAATGTTGGCCAACTGAAAAGTTTGAGCATGTACAGCACTCAATACTTAGTTGGGGCTACTTTTGCCTGAATTACTGCAGCAATGTGGCGTGGCATGGAGTCGATCAGTCTGTGGCACTGCTCAGGTGTTATGAGAGCCCAGGTTGCTCTGATAGTGGCCTTCACCTCTTCTGCATTGTTGGGTCTGGCATATCGCATCTTCCTCTTCACAACACACCATAGATTTTCTATAGGGTTAAGGTCAGGCGAGTTTGCTGGCCAATTAAGAACAGGGATACCATGGTCCTCAAACCAGGTCCTGGTAGCTTTGGCACTGTGTGCAGGTGCCAAGTCCTGTTGGAAAATGAAATCTGCATCTCCATAAAGTTGGTCAGCAGCAGGAAGCATGAAGTGCTCTAAAACTTTCTGGTAGACGGCTGCGTTGACCTTGGACCTCAGAAAACACAGTGGACCAACACCAGCAGATGACATGGCACCCCAAACCATCACTGACTGTGGAAACTTTACACTGGACTTCAAGCAATGTGGATTCTGTGCTTCTCCTCTCTTCCTCCAGACTCTGGGACCTTGATTTCCAAAAGAAAACTTTCATCACTGAACATAACTTTGGACCACTCAGCAGCGGTCCAGTCCTTTTTGTCTTTAGCCCAGGCGAGACACTTCTGACACTGTGTCTTGTTCAAGAGTGGCTTGACACAAGGAATGCGACAGCTGAAAGCCATGTCTCGCATACGTCTGTGCGTGGTGGTTCTTGAAGCACTGACTCCAGCTGCAGTCCACATTTTTGAATGGGTTTTGTTTCACAATCCTCTCCAGGGTGCGGTTATCCCTATTGCTTGTACACTTTTTTCTACCACATCTTTTCCTTCCCTTCGCCTCTCTATTAATGTGCTTGGACACAGAGCTCTGTGAACAGCCAGCCTCTTTAGCAATTACCTTTTGTGTCTTGCCCTCCCTGTGCACGGTGTCAATGGTCGTCTTTTGGACAGCTGTCAAGTCAGCAGTCTTCCCCATGATTGTGTAGCCTACAGGACTAGACTGAGAGACCATTTAAAGGCCTTTGCAGGTGTTTTGAGTTAATTAGCTGATTAGAGTGTGGCACCAGGTGTCTTCAATATTGAACCTTTTCACAATATTCTAATTTTCTGAGATACTGATTTTGGGGTTTTCATTAGTTGTCAGTTATAATCATCAAAATTAAAAGGAATGAACACTTGAAATATATCAGTCTGTGTGGAATGAATGCATACATTATACAAGTTTCACTTTTTGAATGGAATTACTGAAATAAATCAACTTTTTGATGATATTCTAATTACATGACCAGCACCTGTAGTACATATGTATTTTCATAACTTTGATTATCTGTTTACAACAAGACATATCTCTGTGTGTGGCTGCTTCCTAACCAGCTTTGGTCATTAAAATGTTCTGGAAACCAATAATGGAAATGTAACCAAGTACTGTACTGTACTTGACTACAAATTTGAGGTACTTACTTGAGCGTTTCCAGTGTCTGTTTTTACTGCACTGCATTTATTTAACAGCTTTAGTTTTCAAATTAGTATAATTTTGTGTTTAAACATTAAACAACAACAAAAATGCAGGCAATGTAATGCAGCACTGCCTGACCCTGTTTAATACTTATGCTTACCAACTCAACCCGTGGTGTGTTTCTCCTCTTCAGGGACTCCCATCAACAAACGGCCTGTGCTGGGCTACAGGAACTTGAACCTGTTCAAGCTCTACAGGCTGGTGCACAAACTAGGAGGCTTCGACAATGTGAGTGTCACTCTGACAGCGATTACTCCTCTACTTTAGTTTCATTTCGGTCACACTTGTCTCGTTCGATGTTGACTGACTCTGGATCTGTCTTCATCCTGTGTCCACATTTGAGCAGATTGAAAGCGGCTCCGTTTGGAAGCAAGTCTATCAGGATCTGGGAATCCCTGTGCTCAACTCAGCCGCTGGCTACAATGTCAAATGTGCTTACCGCAAGTACGTACAGACGCTGCCTCTACAGCTCCTCAAAGCTTTTGACTCTGTCCGACAGAGTCAAAAGCTTTGAGGAGCTGGATGTTTTTCACCAAGACCGACACGCAGTTTGTAGTCTGTTTGACGTTCCATCTGGACGTCTTTAGTACTGCTGTTACCACTTATTTTTCAAGTAAACTCCTCAAGAATACATTAAGCTCCTAGCTTTGCAAGAATTGCTTGCCAGGTGTGATGGTGTGTGTACATCTTTGAATGGAGCAGTAGAATTAGACTTCCTTGATATATTGATGAGGACTCTTTTATCATCCAGGTACTTGTATGGATTTGAGGAATACTGCACCTCCACCGCCATCACCTTCAGGATGGACCTCCCTTTGAAGCAGGTACCCAAAGGGGAGGTGAAGCCTGAGGGGGAGGCAGGAGGAGCAGCGGCTGCATCGTCCAGCTCAGAAGAGCAGAAACCCCAAGTGGATGGAGAACCTTGTAGCACACAGCCTTTAGTCTGCAAGGTACAGTCTGATTTAAATCTTTGTCCTTTTTGTCTTATGTTGGGTAGATGTATGATAGATTAATTGCTCCAGACCTCCCATGTACGTTTATAATAAAAGCATCCTTCTCTTACAGGATGAGAAACCCGATTTGACCCAAAGCCAAATGGAGTCTGAACCATCAAAAACCGAGGGAAAGGACAGCGGAAATGACAACGATGACGAGGAAGATGGTCCCCTCAAGGGAGACGCAGATGAGGGGTCGTCGACGGCCCGCCTCGGAGCAGAGAGCGTGAAGCAGGAGCCTGATGAGGAGCAGGAGAGCAAGGACAACTCTGGGTAGGTGGTCTGAAAGGATGCTCCCTTCCACCAGGGTGGTAACAAAAACAAAAACAAAAACTCCTCATGGCACAAACACAAGCTCCATGCAGGGCTTCTGCATGGTGACACTGTGTTAATAATTAATTTGACCTTAAGTACCTAAGAACTTTAAAGGTTAATCCAGTCATGAGAACCTGAGGCATTCACTTTCCTTGGTGGCAGTAAAAACCTAAAAGACCATTAGCAGACGAGGACTCTTCTGATGTTAATGACACTAATACCGAGTATACCCACAATCCACCTCTACCTGCTAACCAGAGAGAGGAAAGCTCTCCTCTTTCTCTCTTCTAACTCAACTCTCTACTACTGCTCTCTGTGCTGTTATTGTTTCTCGTGGCATAGTCGGCATCAGCTGGCAGACATATCTTAGAGCACCAAAGCCTGACTGCTACCTTTCACCTGGCATGTCATGCTGTGCTCTCTCTCTCTCTCTCTCTCTCTCTCTCTCTCTCTCTCTCTCTCTCTCTCTCTCTCTCTCTCTCTCTCTCTCTCTCTCGCTCTCTCTCTCTCTCTCTCTCTCTCCCCCCCCCCACTCTGGCTGGTATTGTTTGACCAGCCTCCCTCACTCAGCACACACAACATGGCTGTGCTCATCTCAATTTCTGCCCTTTCCTGATCTCTATCTCTGTCTCCCTGCCCCCCTCTCTCTGTCTTTTCTCTCATTTTTTTTTTGGCTTTTTGATGTTCAGCTTTATTAAATGTTCCATGTGTGTGAGTGTTGTCACAGATGCATTAGCACACTAGACGCAAAATAGCGAGGCTGTAAACTTTTTAAAAAGTGAATTTCACTGAAAATGTTTGTTCTGGGCAGTTGAATGGTTTGGTCTTAGTTAGATGCCTTTCTCCCTGTTGTTTCCAGTCCAAAGCATGTAGATCAGTGCACTCTGTCTGGTTTAGACTTGTGTTTGTTCAGCCTCCAGTTTGACACTCAAGTTAAGGTTGTTTTGGCTGCTGGGGACAGGCTAGAAAACGCTGCAACAAAAAAGTTCACAACTTTAGGATGTTCTGATTGTACACTGTTGCTTCTAGTATCCCTCTCTCTCTCTAGTTTCACCCACAGCTTGGGCACACTGCAGTACAATCATGCAGATTACCATCATATGTGGACTTTCTATCAATAAAGAGGTTCCCTCATCCTTTGGCTTTGTCGTGATCAGTGGTCCTCGCAGATTATGTGGTAGTGTGAGGGTTTACAGATTCACACAGCAGACATCCCACAGGCTGATCTGAGCTTTCCTGATGATATCAAACCTGGTCTAAGCGTTTACAACCCGTAATCTGGATGGGACCTGTAGGTTGTGTACAGATCAAGTTTTCATTCCAGCAGCAGAGGCCGTGAGTAGCCTGTGAGAGTTAGTTAGCAGTGAGCTTAAATGGGAATATTATGTTTTAATTTCTATTAATGAGAGCAATTAATTACATAAAGGGAAATTCTTGTTCTACACTCATTATAAAGTAACTGCCTAAGTGGTGTTTACCTTTTTTACCTCATGATGAAGCCTACTCAGCCTCTCTATTAAAAAAGTCCAAAGCGCACTTGGACTCTCGAGTCTCTTTGTTTGTTTCAGACTATAATTATGCACATTGACTGACGTTGATTTGTGCAGGTTTTGTGGAAAATAGAAGTTCTGACTTCAGTGAAGCATTTGGGTTGTTTAGGGCTGCAACTAAGAGTTGTTTTCATTATTGATTAATCTGCTGGTTATGTTTTGATCGCTTGGTCTATAATACATCAGGAAACGGTGAAAAGGGGTATGTCATCAAATGTCTTTTTTGTCCAACCAACCATCCAGTCCCCCAATGTATTCAATTCACTGTTATGCAAGAAAAACGTGCAAATTTTCACATGGAAACCTACAAATGTTTGGATTATTTTTTCATTGATTTCAACCACAAATTATTTTCTGTCTCTTGGCTCATTGAGTATTCAACAAATGGTTGCAGCTCTAAATGTGCTATATCGCAGTGTTTTATACCCTATCTGTGCTTGTGTTTGTGTTTCGCAAACCACATTTATCACTGAGGGGTGGAAAATGTCTATGAAATTGATTACGTGCAGAGTGTTTTTAAAATCAGTTGTTCCTTGAAGTCGGGTGTGTCTTAGGGCGGTAACAGTTTCTTCGGTTGTCAAGCTTGGACCGCTGCACAAAGAAAGTGCATCCGTTCTTCATTGAGGTTTGTTGAAAATTAGCTGTCAGCAGAAAGCACATGCTCTGAGCAGTTACGTGTGAGAGGGATTGTCTGTGTTGTAGCTCTTCTTTGTGGCAGCAGACCAAATTGGATCTGGTAGCCGTGCTTCCTCCCAACGCTGCAGTCTCGCTTTAAGTTGCTGCGCTGCCTGCCAAGTTGTGCTTTGCCGTGCTAACCCGCCCCTGTGGCTCCTGTGGCCCCTGCGCCTAAACCACTTACTGGCACTCCTGCACCCCTGTATACCCTCCAGCTTCGACATCTCCTGATTGTTTCCCACTAGCTCCCCCTTGTGGCTGCTTTGTTTCTTACAGCGTGTGTGTGAATGAGAATTTCAAGTGTGTTGTTGTGTGTGGATATAGGGTTAGATAGCCTAACAGTAGTGTTATTTCCCATGCAAGATGATTGATTTTTGCCATGAAAGAATGATGTTTTATTTACTGAAACACTCCATGTACTGTTCTTTGACTGGCTTACTGTAAATTATTCAGTTGTTTATACTGCAGTTTGCTGTGGGTTACACTGGACAAGTGTTAAGGCAGGACAAAAATGGGAAGCTTATGTTTCTCTTTAGGTAGGGGCCTAGAGTTGTAATGGGACAGAGGCGGCAAGGGTGGAGCAAATTATTTAGAAAACAGGCTTCCTAGCAGCAGGCGGTGAGTTGGGTGGATGGGTGTGGGTGGGGTTCTGTGGTGTTCAATGGGGCAGCCTAGGGCCAGGAAGTGCTGAACTGTTTTTCTTGCAGGGATGACAGCAGTCAGGAGGGGGAGGAAGGGGAGGAGTTTGAGTGTTACCCCCCGGGGATGAAGGTGCAGGTGAGGTATGGGCGAGGCCGCAATCTGAAGACGTACGAGGCCACTGTGAAAGAGGCAGACGTGGAGGGGGGAGAGGTGCTCTACCTGGTGCACTACTGTGGCTGGAACGTCAGGTAAGACAGGACCTGGGGAGAAATCACCTAACGTCTATATTCACCCTAAAAGAAAATTAAAAAAAATACATCTCCTAACCTTCAATTCAGCTCAAGGGATTGCCTCTACATTGGTATCCCCACAGCAGTAACAGATAACATCCTTTCCTCACAATTCTGCTTCACCTGCTCCAGTCCCATTGTCAGTACTCTGATTATGGAGAACACTGGGCCATCTAGTGGCAGAAACAGAATTGAGTATTGGGTTGCTGTGGATCATTCCTCAGCTTCCCTCACTCAGTTTTGACTGAATCCCCTGTCTGTCTGTCCCCCAGCTGTCTGTCTCTCTACAAAATCTACAGACAGGCTGAATTTGAACCAGTTTTACTCTGGAAATAGCCAACCAGTGGTTTTGGTTAAACTATTTTTAGATCCTACAATGTGAAATTTTAATGTGAGCTACCCTTTGGATCTCTGAAAGGCCAATCTAAGTGCTGCTACACTCACCTCTACCTCTCAACCCTCTCCCCCCCTCCCCAGTGGGTCAGGGTTAATGCAGTGTTAAGTAGAGTGTTAGGGTACCATGACACAGAGGTTAACTAGTGCAATCAGCATTTCATTGTCTCAATGTTGTTGTGTGGTCCTCTAGCACTCTATAAAAGACAGTGGGATGTTCTCTGCATTGTGTCTGTCGTGTGCGATGTCGTGAAACTTTTCATTTTCCTCATACGACCCAAGTAGCACCTTTGGTACTGTTGGAACTTTGTTGAATATGATTTGTGTGGTGGTCGGTGTTAATATTGTTTCTTTCTTCATCGTAAAGGTTTGTCTTTTTCCACATAATACCATGGGATTTCTTCCTTTGCTGTTGAGGCTTATTGTGTCACAGCAACATGTTGGGGTCAGACAGTAGAGGTGTCTGTGTGGTGGGTGGTGTGAGAGGATATTTCTTAGCTGCTTTCAAAGTTCTGAATGATTAAATTGTCTCTTGTCTTTGTACTTGATTTTTAGATATGATGAATGGATCAAAGCAGACAAGATTGTGCGTCCTGCCAATAAGAACGTACCAAAAATAAAGCACCGCAAAAAAATAAAGGTACGAGTTTGGAGAGTGGTAACTTTTCATCTTCCAACGTGGTTTGATTTGTCATGAAGTGAATCACTTACTGTGTTGAATTCTGACAGAACAAAGCTGAGAGGGAGCGAGACAGGTTGGAGAGGCTGAATGACAGGGAAGTCCTCGGCCCTTCGTCCAACACTGACCGCGTCCCACGCTCCAAGTGTGGCCTGAGTCAGGATGTCTTTTCCAAGATGGACGAGGGTGAGGACAAAGGGACTCAGCAGTCTCCAGTCAAGTCTATAGAAATTACTTCTATCCTCAATGGCCTGCAAGGTAGCAACACTCAATAGCCTGTAGTCCTCATGCACACTTACAGCAGATCAGGATCAGTTTGACTCTGAAGTGGTTTATGTATGCCTGTTGATATCCTGCAGAAACTAACACGAGTTCTGTCTTGTTTGCCTCAAGCCTCTGAGATGTCCACAGACGAAAGTGAGCACGAGGATGAGGAGGGAGAGCATACGGAAGAGGATCGCCCAGGTTGCAGAGGCAGCCCCAGAAAGGCCCTGCCAGATGCCCCGGAAACATCAGAGCGCTGGGAGAGCGGGGCCCCTCCTGAAGAATCCAGACCTTCTCCAGTCTCAGGAAAGAACCAGGATTTAGTCAGTGCAGAGAGCGCAGACGCTGGGAAGCGCAGAGGCCAACTGGAGTTAGAGGGAGAGGCGAGCACAAGGAAAAGGAAATCTGACAGTGCAGCAGAGAGGACCCCGAAAGGCCAATCCAAGGCTAAGACCAGGAACACCAGGAGTGCTGACTGGTTGCCTGGAGGCTCACCCAGGAAACTGGAGGAGAGAGCGGCTGGTCCAGGGCAGGAGAGGGGGGCCTCGTCCAGCAGCAGTTCAGATGATGAGGGTGCAGCACTGGCCGAGTCCCAGGCGGAAGAAAGTGAGCGAAGCCGGACAAAAACCAAAGGTTCCCCTTCCAAGAAATACAACGGGATGAAGGAGAAGACCAAAACTGGCAGACAAGCTGGCTTCTGGGAGATGCCTGAAAAGAGGGCCAAATTGTCTGGGAATACAGAGGAGAGGCCAGCTGTCCGCTCGAAGGGCCAAAAGGATGTGTGGTCCAGCATCCAGGCCCAGTGGCCTAAGAAGACTCTCAAAGAGTTGTTCTCTGACTCGGACACAGAGGCCAATTCTCCTCCTCCACCTGTACCCTTGTGTCTGGAGGAGCCGAGTGCCGAACAGGATGCTGGACCCGAGGACGAGGCCTCAGAGGAGCAGATGGAGAATGACAAACTACAGGAGTTTCCGAGCAGTGGCAGTAACTCTGTACTCAACACACCGCCTACAACGCCCGAGTCCCCCTCAGGAGGAGGCAGTGCTGTGGAAGAGTCAGGTCAAGTGCAGCCTTCCTCCCCGCCGCCGTCCGCACCACCCGTATTGCCTTCAGAGCCGGTTTCTGACGCTCTTCCCCCAGTACCCATACAGGAGGAAGTGGCAGGTGGGCGCAGTGAGACAGACAGTAGCACGGTGGAGGTGGAGAGTCTGGGCGGGGAGCTGCAAGACCTCCCTCAGGATGACGGGGCAGGTTCCCCCTCAAAGGTATTTGACGTCAGCCTCTCCTGCAACAGCAGCAGCAGCAGCGGCAGCCTAGAGCTGAGCAGCAGCAGCCAACAGGACAGTGAGCAGAAGTCCAAAGGTACAAATAATAACCAGTCTACTATACCAGATCTTTTTTTTCATTTTCCTCTCAGATGGAAAACAAAAGAAGTACACGTCGACAACACATTTGACAGTCTGCCTGTTCCCTCACCATCTTCTTGCATTTCCTTTGTAGCGTCTGTGAGTCAGAAGCGGCAGAAAGAATCACAGACAGGTGGAGCCTCAAAGAAACACAAGCCAAACCGCAAGAGCCTAGGAGTGCCTCCCAAAAAGAATAGGAAAACAGGTAAGGAGAGCTGTAGATCGAATTGCTGACACCGTGCTAGCGTTCCCATTTCAAGCCAGCAATACTTTCATGAGCCATAGAATGTCTATTTAATATTCCTCGTATTTTGACATTAAATTACAGATTTCAGGTGGGGAAAGGGAAGTGAGATTTTGTGTGATCATCGTGAGATTTTGTGTGATCATCGTTCACCCCCCCCCCCCCCATATCTCTGCTGTCTTCTGTCCTCCAGCCAACAGCAGTGACAGTGAAGACCAGTCTGTTGTTGAGAGCACTGCCAAATCAACTGCCTCTAAGAACATTGCGTCAGACGTGAAGGCTGCCATTTCGCCCAAGTGTCACGGACGATCTCCCCCTTCGAGCCATAAGTACCACAAGCAGGGTGACGCTGACCACAGCCAGCACCGAGACCACCATGGAAGATCGCCACGCGTGTACAAGTGGAGTTTCCAGATGTGTAAGTGTCAGGCATTGAACTAATTTGTAACTATAACTAATTTGATTTAAAGATTTAAAGTTTATTAACTTTTTTGTGATTTTGGTGAACTGATTCTTTAACAACATTTGTTTTTAAATTTTATTTGTATATTTGAAGCTTCCTATATGTTTATGTCAACAACTCTGACACACCTGTGTCTAACACCTAAAATGCGTTATTTACGTTCCCACTTAGCTGACCTGGAAAAGATGAGCAGCCTGGAGAGGATTTCGTTTCTTCAGGAGAAGCTGCAGGACATCAGGAACCACTACCTCTCCCTCAAGTCTGAGGTGGCCTCTATTGACAGACGACGAAAACGCATGAAGAAGAAGGAGCGGGAAAGTGAGTCAATGATTCCATCCATTCTTATGTTTGTGTGTAAAGTTCCTCTTAAATTCTTAGTAACTACCAACTCATTTCAAACTCATAGTTTATTAAACTTAGTTGCGACCATTAAAAGCTAAAAAATACCTTAACAATGTGTAGGAAATATCTTTAGCACTGTTCAATCAAAAGCAATTAACTATATAATCAGAAAGTCACTGTAACATCACAAGCTGTAATAAAATTTACAGAAATTACAGTTGTAGCATAAATTAAGCTGAACCGCTTGTTATAATATGTATTACTCTACTGTATTTAAATATGATACATCGAGAAATAACTGTAACGTTTTACATGTATGTTGTATTATTTTTTGATAAATTAACCTTAATTATACAGCATATCATCTAGCGTCAGGTCAGATGTGTATATTCCTTTTCTCTTAACTCTAAAAGCTCCGGTTATCTTTGTTGGACAGTTCTTCTATGCAACAGTTGCTCCTGATAGTTACTGGGTGTAAATATTTAGTAACTGCTAATCTCTTTGTAAGAGCTAGTTTGTGCGGAGCAGCCCATGTTAATTTAGTGATGCGTAAATCTCTGCCTTCATGGTAATTAGGCTACTGTACATTGTACCCAAACTGACCATAACCACGTCCTGTCTCTGTTCTGTAGGCACAGTGGCTGCTTCCTCTTCATCCTCCTCCTCCTCCTCCTCCCCGTCCTCCAGCTCGCTGACTGCGGCAGTCATGCTGACACTGGCCGAACCTCCGGTGTCATCCTCATCCTCCTCTTCTCAGAACTCTGGGGTATCAGTGGAGTGCAGGTGACAGGACGAACCAGCAAAAAGCCACCGCACTAAGCACTTAACCAGCACCCCGGGGTCACCGCCCCATTCCCCTCCAACAGGACAGAGAAGTCAACCTACATACTGTAACTGGGGCACAAAAAACCAGACCAGAGACAAAAAAACAAAACAAGAAACAAGCACTATTTTCTATTGACAACTGTTTCCTTGGCAAGCTAATGGCACTTAAGTGCACTTTTATGAAGATGTGTAGGGGGGAAGAAATTTGTCAACAAAAAAAAGAATTGTCTTTTGCGCTCTCCTTAATTGAACATTTATAAGAATTGTTTTTGCAAGCAATAATTGTCTCCATTTGATAAAGCTGTATTGGTAAGGGATGGTTTCCAGTGAAGACCCCTCCGTGCTCTGTCCTCGTAGCTCAACACGGTGGAGCCTGTGCTCGCCATGTTATTATTATTATGGGGAATTCAGAGGAGCACTGCCACATTGGCATTAAGGGTGTAGAAAAAGTAACTTTGCCACGTTTCTCTGTCTAAAAAAAGGCCTTCATGTGGTTACACCTCAAGCGGTTGACGATGCTCTTGATGGATAGGGTTTCAGACCATCATAGGTCCACTGACAGCCTCAGTGGATGCATATGGAATGATACTGTAGTGCCTTTTTGTTCTTTTCTATGGGGCACTTTGAGAAAGACAGCACTTTTTTTTTTCCTGATCCTCTTCTGAAATCAGAGGGTCCGCTGGAATAATGTGTCCCTTACAAAAGACTGAAGAATGCTGAGTGAGTGAGCAGGCAGTGAAGGGCTGAGTCTGACAGATAATGATGGTTTTTAGCAGCGTATGGTAACATTTAAAAGTATAATTGTAAAAGCAGAGAACTCCTATAATGGATCACCTGTAATCTACTACTGAATACTCATCCAGTTTGGGTATTACTGTTACATTTGGCAGTATAAAATGTGCAATGATGGAGGTGGTCAATCCAATGGTTACATTACTTCAGTTCATCAGCCAAAAAACATCTGCTTTATTTTATTATGTTTTCATAATCCTCGCAGTCCCATTGGTCTCCACTGATGATTTGATGGTGCACATCTACAACTGGATCAAGTTCACTTGAAGGCAGCCATAGGAGGTATTTACAGCATGTACTCAGTACTGCAGAACACGTGAATGAAGCTGAATCCCACATTTGCAGTGTTTCAAAATAACATGAAGTTATTTAACTAAGTATATTTTTGCTTCATTAAATAAAGCAACGCATACTTTTGTCATCTCTTTCTAATTTTACTCATGATCAATAATGACATGCCAGCTTCCTCTCATACTCATCCCTACCAAAAATGTTTGGTTCTGTTTCCCGTACTATGATCAGATTAAAGGTAAAGATATTGTAAATGTGCATTTATATCATAAAGTGACGTATGTGTGTACATTTCTGAAGACATCTCCAGTGTTTCCTTTGTATAGGCCCCCTACTGTACGATAACCTGAAGTTACATTTTGTTTGGCACTTGTATGTAATTGTATGCTTTTGTTATACATTTGTATATTGAGAAGTGTTTTGAGTCAAGCTATTTAATATCTTGCACTGTTAATAACATGTACTTTTCTGTACAGACAGCTTTATGGTTTTAACTGTAGTTTGAGTGTAAATACTGAGGGTTACAGCATGTTTGTTCTCCCATTTTGTCTTCATTCTTGTTCTCCTGGATGGACAGTTTTATTTGAGTTCATTTATGTTGTTTTTGTTCTGCCTCTCATCAGTTTCAAGTATTTTTTTTCTTCTTCTTTTTTTTTTTAATTCCATGTTTTGCTTTAGTTTGTATTCTGTTTTGTTTTTCTATAGCTTGTGCTTGCAAGAGAAGAATGGTAGTTTTGGATGTGGCTGAACTATTTTCCAACCTGTACATGGCCTGAAGCTAAAGCTGTATGAACCTGTATATGGAAAATGGTCTGGATCATAGATTAAGAGAAAGTAATGGAGCTTATTGAAAAATGCTCAATAGTATTTATTAGGCTCATCTGATGATGGTCATTGTGTAATTTATTGTAAAAATGTAAGCAAAGCAGAAGCCTCTGTTTGAAATAAATGCCATAGTTTGTGAAGTATTCAGCGTGTCTTTTGCCATCTGTGGTGTAAAGTAACTTTTACTTTACAGTTTTTAGGCATATCTACTTTAGTTTATTATACTTGAAGTAGATTTTGCAGGTATTTTGCAGGTGATACCTTTCTGTTTTTCTTTTTTTTGCACTTTGGTATGTAATTTTCTTTTACTATAAATTATGGCCTGCTTAAATAACTATGAGGCCCTGAAGCTAAATTTTACCTCTCCTGTGACTATAAATCCCTGCGTCTCCCCTCTCTGGGCATACATGGCTGTTGCAGGTTATTTTAGGCATATTTCAGTATTGCCTCAAACCAGTTGTCACACAATGAACCTGGTGCATTAACCAGCTCCCAGTATGTTTTCTCTGGTGAAACAGATAGGGGTGAGTGGGGGGATATTTGGTCATATTTACCCGTCAAAAATACTCCTTATATAGCCCTAAATAATATACAAAGGATACCGTATGGATATGAGGCTTGTAACGTTGTCATTACGCCCTGCGTCATGAGTTACGTACTTCCTCTCTGCGTTTCCTTAGCAGCGTGCTAGCTGCTAGCCAGCTAGCGTGCTGCGTGCATGGATGCGGTGCCCATGAGTAGTTTCAGATATGATGAGCGGTAGGACGAGCGCGGTAATTGCCGGCGTGTGCGGAGCCCTTTTCATCGCATACTGTATTTATTTTGATAGAAAGCGGCGGAGTGACCCTCGCTTCAAGGAAAAGCTACGTGAACGTAAGTGTTTGAGCTGCAGTGAGAAGGGGAAGTTAACTTGTAGCACGGGGAGCACGTTAGCTTCCATGAGGACACTAGCTAACTTAGCTGCAATATCAGAAAAATCTTAATAGAGGTGGTGCTATGCTGTATTTCTTCAGTTACTCACAGTGTAGAGAGTATTAACATTTGCTATAACTTAAGTTTCCCCAGCTAAGTAACGTCGCAGGATAGATAACTGGTGGAAGAACCAGCATGCGGTAGCTTAACTTGTAACCAAGCGTCTCGAGTTGTACAACATCAAACTAAACAGCACTGTCTAAAACCACCTTTGTCTTGCAGGTAGAAGAAAGCAAAATGCTTCTAGTCAGAAGTCTGGACTGGCAAAGGTAGGCCAAATGTTAAACCACCAATTTAAGATGATGTTTGAGTACGGTGGCCTAAATGTGCATTTCTGACACTGTCTTTTTGACTTTGAAGCTACCTGACATGAAGGACGCGGAAGCTGTTCAGAAATTCTTTCTGGAGGAAATCCAGCTGGGAGAGGAGCTCCTGTCACAAGGTTAGCCACATGCCTGTTCACAGTTGATTCAGAAATAAAATTTGTAAACTTGTTTGCCTTATACACCACATAAAGCAATGTTCCTTAAATGTAGCAAATAATAAATACAAACATAAATCATTCTGGAAAAACAACCCTGTACTTCAATTCATGTCTCCATGCACTCTTCTCCTGTAACACTACTTAAAATGTATTCACACAAAGTTTTCAATAGGCAGGTCAGTTGTTTCCTAAAACTAACCTGCACCTCTTTCCATAACTTGCAGACATTTCTTATTTCTAGTTTTCTAAACCTTTTCTAACTGTAAAATAGGTCAATTCGAGAGCGGTGTAGACCACCTGACCAATGCGATTGCAGTATGTGGTCAACCTCAGCAGCTGCTTCAGGTACTCCAGCAGACGCTGCCACCTCCAGTTTTCCAAATGCTGCTCACCAAACTGCCCAGCATCAGCCAGGTGAGGGTTTCCTGCATAACATTTCTGTGTGATGGTTTGCAGAGCATCCTTAATAAACCCCCCAGTTGCTATTTGTGGTCTCTGGGACAAGAAAGGGTGCAAGATCAATCTTAGAATCATCCAAAGCTGAGAGCCACGTGTCAGTAGCTCTTGGCTATTTCACCTCTAAGACAGACTTACAAGTAACAACTGGTTGTGCTCTATATTTGGTGCTGTACACTTTGTGGTGTGACCTCTAAAAGATGTTCTTTTCTGTTTTTCAGCGAATCATCAGTTCTCAGTCTTTAACAGAAGATGATGTTGAATGAAACTGATTGTGTGTGAAATGGAAACATGCAGTCACTATTCCGCAAAGGGATTTGAGGCACTGTTATATATGTGCACATTTTTGGTATGTGTGACTGCAGTTGCGAGCCTGATTGTGACAGAGCTTGATCTTTGGACGTCAGATGACAATAATCGCCCTCTATCATGGCGGTCTGAGGTTAAGAACTTGCTCGAGCTGGCGTTTCTGGGAAACGTTTAAACACATTCCATCTTTCTAATCTTCTTCCCACCAGATCTCATGTATTCTGGCCATCAGTTTATTCTATGTATTTCCCTCAAGTAATGATGCGTTATGTTTGGGGGGGGGGGTGTTATGTCCTAAAAAAATCCCAACAAAGGTATTCAAATGTTTATTTACATATTGCTGCACAGTGATAGACATGTGAAATGTGTGTCTACACTTAACAGAACACTTGTTTGTGGAGTATTGTTTTCTGAAATTTCTTTTCAGTGTTTATTTAAATGTTTTTATATTCTGGTCTTTCATATCTGAATGTATGTTTGTGTGTAACAAAAAATAAATAATGAAAACACCTTTTGGGTTTTGAGTTTCCATTCTCCAGTAGATGGCAGTAGCAATGCACTGGAAAATTTGAAATATGGAGTGCGGATAGTTTGTCTGTTTTGGAAAGATGGAGCGTAATTTTGCTGAATAGGAAGTGTTGCGTGTATGAGTCAAGGATAAAAATTCTTCAGGACTTTCTTTTGATAACACCACAGGAAAAAAAGACGTATCAGAAAGATGTTAAGGAACATGGAAGAAAGAGATGAAATAACATCTTGTAGGACTAAATATAAATGCAAAAAAACCTTAAAGGTGTTATTGAATCCTTGTCACACATTAATTACATACAGTCAGTACCACAACAATTGTGTTTCCAACCAGCATGGTGAAACGAGCTTGTGTCTGTACACGGAGCCACAATGTCTTTATTGTGAATGGCTTTATTGTGCGTGCAGGAGAGCGAAAGTGGAGCAGCTTGTAGGGGAAAGGGAGTAGGTCTGGTTCAAAGTGTGTCTCCTGGAAGACAAATAGAGCTGTAATTATTTTTATCCCCGTCTGCAGCTGTTTTTCTAAGTGCTCTGGCCAGAGCAGCCCAGGCCTTGAGGTTGCCAGGAAACGAGAGCAGGGGGAAAATAGTTTTTCTACATTAGGAATGAAAAATGAAAATTGAACGGCGGCCCAGAAATGTCGAGTGAAGACTAAATGGTAGACAGTGTTCCATTTTCCATGAACTTGTGCTCACTCTGCAGTCTTTTCTTCAGCACCCCTGCTATTTTGCCATTTGGTGGAAAAGGAGAAGCCTGTCAAGAGGCCTGCAGAGTCATCTGGCCCCGAGTGTGTGTGCAGAAGAAGTGACTCGTTGTTAAACTGTCCTCTGGGGAGGCAGAGGAGAAAAATAACAGACTGTGTTGGAGGTCAAGTTGGAGCTGTGGTCTGGCGCTGGGGGTAGGAACAGGTTCAGACCCCTCCACACAGTTCAATACTGGCCTTCTTCTACTGTAAATAAACACCCAGCTGCTGGCCATGTACTCTGCCCCCCTGCAGACTGGAGAGAGCTAAAGGGTCACTGAAGGATACCAGACCAGTACTGCCTGCATGCATGCCATCTTAAAGTAAATCAAGTGAAACAGGCCTTGACATAAAGCCATGACATTGTTTGATTTCAGGATGACACAGCAATTCTTTTGTTTTTATCTAAAACAAAGCCTGCTCTGCGTTCTCAGCCCTGAGTAGAATATTATTGTAATCAATGACATGTTTGCTGTACTTCTTTTAATTTTTAATTTTATTCTTCCAATCACATCCCCTGCTCTATTTGCGTCTGTATGAATGGATTATGAGTCAGCTCTTCATATCTGATGAAGCATACAGGGGAAGAATAAGGGGACATGAAGAAACTCCTGCTTCTTGTGCTGTAGGGGGAACTGTTGCTCCAGGCAGCCTCTGCAGACGTTTATGGCGCTCCACTGAAGGACAAGTGAATGGAGAGAGCTGAGAGCATAACAGTTCCAGTTGACAGCAGTAACAATGGCTGTGCCTGCAGCACGGAGACCATGTGCTCGGGAGGGGTGATTTTTAACAGTTTCTTGTAATGTGCTCACTATGGCAGATGCAACATGTTTCTTCATTACAGGTGCAGGAAATAAACTGTTACTGAAGGCAACATTAAAATCCTAGGATTAGGCATAAGGAGGCTCTAACCAATCCAACTGCCATTGTAATTTGTTTTGCATGGATTCTGATCGTATGTCAAACGTTGTATTGGGAATATTATAATCACTTGAGCTCCAAAACTCATTACTGGAAATCCTGTCAGCAAATTAACCACACAAGTAATTACCTTTGCTGTGTTATTTATGAGTTTGAATGTCAAAGCTTGATTACTGCTCTGTATACCGAGTGCCATACATACACAGATTGGATGTCTGACCGGTGGAGATGTCTGGTTATGTAGCTGTGTTTGGGAGTTTAAGGCAGCCAGAAATAACTCTGTTGTAAGTGGTTGCTATGGCAGCTACACGTAGCTCTGCAAAGCAGCAGACTCTCTGCTGCACCGGCCTACATTTGAGATCCTCCGAATGTTACCTCTGAGCAATAACCTCCCAGAGAGGTATTTGCTGCCCGCAGCTTGCTGATCATTGGATGTTAGGTGGAGGCGTCCATGGAGGCCTGGAGTCCTCTTGCGTCCCTGTTTTGGAACATGTTTTCCCACTGTCTGTTGCTGATGTCATGGCTATGGTGCCAGAGTCTGCAGCCTACTGTACGCTGTCATGGAGAGGACAGGCTGGGGAGAAATATGAGACATGTCCGCGCTATAATAGAGACTCTCTCCTGCACTGCCACTTGTGTGCACAGCAGCAACACAGTATATTAATTACCCAGCGCCTTCTCTGTGTCATTCACCAATGAGGGAGGGAAGAAGAAAAATTTCCAAGGCACGTCCTTAAAATAAAGCAGCACTGTACGTGCTCAGAGTATTAACTTCCACACAGATGACCCATTTTTCCATCTCAAAGGGTCTGAGGATGGGTGGAAAAAGGGGGGGGGGGGGGGGGGGGGGGGGGGAGCAGCAGTGGAGCCAATCACGTGAATCTAAAGCAGGCTACAAATCCTGGCGGATTTCTGTTGCTCTGTGGGGCAATGCCTTACTGTCCTCTGCTTTCCCATTTCTGTGCTGAGCCCCCTGTGGTAATTTAACTTCTTCTTCTGCTCTTCCTCTATGCAGGTTTCTTACCTCCTCGTCCCAGCTTGTCTATTCAGCTCTGTTGTTTACATTCTTTGTGAGCGTGAGCTGCAGGGTGTGGACAGCCCCCACACGCCCCACCACCACCTAACCACACTGACTGCCTCTCTCTAATGTCATCCTGCTTCAAGCCTACACCTATCTCCTCATCACTCGATCCCCGATAAGGCGGAAATTCAATAGCATTACTCTGCCTGAGAGAAGTAAGTGCACCACATGAGCTGTGAATACCTGTTCACGTTGGGTGTTTTCATATTTTGCTCTAGTAACAAGCTTGGAGCCGAATTGGTCATGAATGGAGACAAAGAGGACAAAAGGGGCAGAGCCCAGTGGGAGAAGAAATAGATCACTCAGCAACCGTTCTCATCCTGTCATCTGTCATCAGCATTATCTGTGCAATCTAGGCTAGGAGTGAAACTAGAAGAGGGAAGTGACACGTACACTGAGCTGGAGGGTGAAGAGAGGGTTAACTAAGCATGTATGCACAGTTATTCCCCCCACCCCCTCGATCTGCCTTCCTGTCTCACAAGCAGTGCAGTGGCTTTGAAAATTGAGAGTAAGACAGGCTTGTTTTGCATACTGTGGGTCTCCTGCATTGACTTGTAGCAAATCCCTGCCCTCGGGAGGCATGTCAGAGGGGATTAATGGGAGGGCTGGGGCCTCACAGAGTTCCCCATTGTCGCAGCCCAGCCCTTCACTGTATTTTCATCCCGCAGAGTGAGAAAAGAGCGAGCAGGTGGGATGGCGCTGGTGGAGGGAGGGTTGAGCTTGTGTGTCAGTGCACGGGGGAGAAGGGGGGAGGTTATACAGTGGTGTTATTTCCCTCTGCCCTGGTTCTTTTGAGCTGAGCTGAAGGGAGGGGAGGAGAGTGTAAATAATGTATTTGGAGCGGCTGGGGTAGAAGGAGCTGGAGCTTGACCGAGAACAGGGAAGGGAGAAGAAGGGTTGAGCGGCCATGCTGCTGCACAGGAAATTTGGGGGGGGGGCGGTGTACGAGCTACAACAACACCCTGCTGTGGTGCTCTGGGGAATGTGGGGCCTCCGCAAGAATGTAGCAATCCTCTACTTCCGCTCTGCATTCTCTCTGTTTTACCAAGAGAAATGGTTTGCTGTAGCAGACCGACATTAATAATGCAATATAAATAATAATGTGGTAATGTGAAATGCTATTTCACATGAGGCCTGGCTCTGGTAGGGATTCAAATGGGGTCTCAGGAGCAGCCACGCTTGTGAACTGGAAACCTGTCCTCCAGTTGCTGGGCAGGACAATAGTCAGATAGTAGTCCAGGCTGAAATGTTCTTTTTAAATGAATAGTGTGACATGGTGGCAGAAAAGGGCTTATTCGCTTTCTCATGTCTTAGATGAGAAAATTGATACCACTGTCAAAGTCCAGACAGCCAATGTAAAGACGTTAGCTTTAACCTAGCTAGCAGCAGACGCACCGACCAATTAAGGGTTTGTCTGTGCATCTGTGTTTAGCTGAACTCAGAGCTCACAAGAAACTCCACTTCTTTCTGTTATTTCCCCGCCAGTCTCTATCCTTTTTTCCTCTCGTTTCTGTACATCTATAAAGAACGAAATTCATACACAGAATTTCTGCGCCGCCTGTGCAAATTTGCATCTAATTCCTTTGACTCACTAATTAACATGTTACTGTATATCTTGACTATATAACTACATGCTCCAGTATATTTAACTATATGAAATGACAGTTCGCCGTTTTTTTTATTGTTTGCTTTACTATTTCTGTGTCGATTTGTTTTTCCTCCTCCCTTAACTTGAACGCAAACCCAAATCTCTAACTCCTGGCGCTGGGAGACGGATTTTGCAGGTCTTTGGATAGAGCTTGGCTAGCTGTCCAGTTTTTAGGCTAAGCTAAACTCACTGCTGCTAGCCTTAGCGTCATATTTGGCGTACAGACAGATATTTTCTCATCTGACTGTCGGCCAGAAAGCAAATAAGTGTATTTCCAAAAGAAACTATTCCCCTAACATACCCTCCAGCATGCCTCGGTTTGAGTATGATGAAACCATTCACTTGCACGATTATACCATCAGGTCTTTATTTCTCTCTTTATCCTTCCATTTCATTCTCTCCCTCTCTCTCTCTCTCTCTCTCTCCCATGGCGATCTAGCCCTTTTATTTCTCCCACACCTGCTATGTTTTATGGCAACTATAAAAGGGACCTTAACCTTGAAACATGATAGAGCATTCCCAACTCCCACAACAAAAAAGGAAAAAAAAGAGACATCACTCCTGCTCTCCTTTACACACCAATGTAACCTTGGTGTAACTTTTGTATTTTATCATATTTTCTTGGGCTCGCAGAACTCTGTTGCCATATCACCCCGCGCAGCTTGGCAGCTACAACCCACTCTTTCACCCGAGAACTACAAAGTGGGTTTGACGCCTTGCATCTTGTGTAACCACAGTCTTTGAAGACTTTGGCTTTGAGCTCTGTGTCTCATCAATTCCCTACGCAAAGCTAAATTTGAATCTGAGGCGAGCACATAAGGGGGTAGCTTATCTGCCCCACTCGTTTAATGTTATTCATTCATGCACACTACTTTTATGACGTGCAGAAGTACTTTTTTTGTTATTTATGTAACCATCTTCAATCTGCATATGGATGTGTGTGTGTGTACATGCTTAGAGATGACAGTACAGTAACTTAACTTTACACGAGGGACAGAAAGCACTGTTTGTTGGATGCGGGAAAACCCTCTTCATGCATTAAAGGCCTAGTTTGTAATGTTCTGCATGAAAGGGGAGAAACAAATCTATTTGATCATGAGTCTGGCCAGTCGTGGGTCTTTCCGGGTCATGCTTTGATGTTAATTCATGTCTGAACAGGAGAGAGAGCAGAATGCAGAAAAAAGAGTGAAATAGATATCCCCCCATTTCCGGTCTATGAGGGCGCCACACCATGAAGTGAGTGGTACCACAGCAAATTCCTGACTTATTTGTCATCTGGGGCCCTGGTCACATTAAATCTGCTTTTCTCAATGAACTAGGGAGGGAGATTACTGGCTCATAGTCAGTGAGATGATAATGTCAGGCTTTGACTCTCAAATGGAGGTCCACAAGAGGCTGATGCGGAGAATAGAACCATGTCGTACGCAACATCTGATTCTGACGCTACGACTGAAACTCTTTTTGTTTCCTTCCTTCTGGAAATGTGATCCCCCCACCCCCTCCGAATCCATTTGAAATACCGGTCAGCCTTGCAATTGTTCGGTGAACCTAAGCTGCAGAGCCACGCTACTCTTTCCTATCCTTCAGCTTTTCAATCGCCTCCAAATCCTCTTCAAGGCTGACATGATCCACCATGCAGCAGAATTTACTATCAATATAAGATGACAGTGGTAGGTGATGAAATCAGTTGTTATTCTGTTCTCTCTTTCTGATCGCCTTACATGTAATCGATTGGACTGTTCTCCCCGTTTCATCCCCTATATTTCAGCCCTCAGCACTAATTGTGTCAGATTTCTGTCCTCTCTTCCACACACTGTTGATTTATGTCAGCGTAGCGCCATGTAAGCTCACAACATATCCCCAGGTTGCTTTGAGATTCAACTGTGCTCCATGAATATCCTCCATCTGACCTATTTTACACCAAAGCCTTGATCTCCCTCCATGTTTGTCTGGAGTCTATTTGCAGCCGCTGTGATGATTTGATATTATTGCCTAAAACATGAGTGACTTGTTATGTTTGTTTTCAAACCGCAGTACTACTTTCATTAGCATATAAAAGGCTTTTTTTGATATCCTTATCTAGTTTGAGGTGTTTCTCTCCATAATTTATTTCACAGGGTAAGGAAGTCAATCAGACAGATAAGTTCTTTACCATTTAGTCTCACCCAGAAAGCACGCATTCCTGGACTTGATTTGAATTTAATGGACTTGTAGATGATTAATGAATCAATTATTGGATACAGCATCTGAGCGGTTGCAGCGGCGACACTGACAGCTTTTCAAATTGAAAGAAGCACAATCGTTGTGGAGACTTGCATGCTGCCAACTCAATGTGCTCCTGTAATTATAAATGCATGAAATAATTAACAAACAACTCCACTGCGAGAACATTACATGCGGGTCACTTACGGTCAGTAGCAAGGGGCCGGTGGAGAGTGGAGCTCGGGGATGATTGCACTTTGTCTGATAAGGACTGTAACACAGATTGAGTTAATCTTGTAGTGAAAAATGCGCTGTAGGCTTTTAGTCCAGATGACGCTCAGTGTGAGGCCTCTCTCGCATATAGCTCAGGGAAAAGCTCGGTGAAAGCACCCCCCTCCCACCATCCACACTCTCTCCACACACCCCCCCCCCCCCCCCCCCCCGGCTCCATTCTTCCAGAGGGATGGCTTGTTGACATCCATTAGGAGGTTTCCCAGCATTGAGCTGGGTCAGGAAAGAGGACTAATGATGTAATTCCCTGAGAGATGACATTAAAATGTCAAAGTGCCGCAGCTGACATCATCCATTTAGCACACAGTTTCCAATAATATACATTTGTCTTCCTTTTTTTTTCTTTCAGCTTTCCTTCCTTGAAACTGGAGCTCCTCCCAGTGCCTCCAGGCTCTAGGTGTGCAGCCACACGACAGAGGACAGACTAGAATAAGGGGGGATATCATCAAAGCATGCCTATCCCTGTAGCTATAAATGCCCTGCTTCAGAAAGCAGTGTTTTGAACAGTCTGTGTGTGTCGTGTTACATTTATCCCTCCCTTTTGTAAGGCTACATACACAATAATATGTTTCATTTTAAAACGCATAACATTTTCTTCTGTTTACGCTGTTTGCTGTTCTTTGTTGGTCGTATTTTCTGCAGCGAATAGACAATCTGCTTCCGTATAACCAGTGTACATGAATGGTCATGTGATATGCGTTTTTTGGCCATGTTAGTATGGATGGAAATTATTTCTGAAACGGTACTAAAACACTGTACGGATTGTGGATGTACCGTGAGCCTCCTCAGCTAATGCTAATTCACCTTGTCTGCACAACAAAGACCCTCACCCCCTCATTCCTCTTTTACAATTCCTCCCACATATAGGAATGGCCTCTGAATGATTTTAAGTCAGCTGTCTGTATTTTATCCTATTTTTGAAAAGTGATTTTCTGATTTTGAATGTGTTAAGATGTGTGACAGAATTAAGAGAACATTTTGTACAAATTGCCTTTTCTACCTGCCTCACACCGC